AAATGACTAATGTAATTTAAGAGTCTTGGTCCTGGCATTTCCTGTTTAAGGAAATTGAGGAGAAAGTACAGTCACTTGAAAAATATCCTTCAGTCTTACTATGAAAAGATGACCAGCAGAAAAATAAAGGGGAAAAAAAGAATTAAACTGGGGGGACTTGAGAAATTAATGGAAAAATGAAGTCATTAGGCTTTGGCCAAAGGGAGACAAAAGCACAAAGGAAAGAGATCTAGTTCTAACTCTTTTCAAAATGTGTTTTTAAAATGGGGTGACATTTTTTACTTATCCAAAGGAAAGCTGCTGGTTTCTAATGGAATTTAATGAAGAAAGAGAGGAAAGTTCTTTGCTTTCTGGTGTAAATTTCCTGAGAAAAGAGAGATATCCCAGGAAGGGAAAGTATGAAATTTTGTTATAGTAATAATATTCATGGGAGATTTTACTAAAAATTGCTCCTTAATGATTATGACACCTCTTCCAGTAGCAAAAGAAAATTGGACCATTATCCAGGAGGAGAATCAGAGGATCATCTTGAAATATACAGAGCATTACTGAGAATCAGAGTGAAATGAAACTTTTACTGTGTGGGGGAGAGCAACTGCAATTGCTTGTGTCCTTAGAGGGCCTAATTAATAAATTTATAGATATCAGACTCCAAGAGAAGTTGCAACAAATAAACTAAACAAAAGAGGAGCTATGCAGGAGACTAACAGATCAAGTTCTGTCCTTTGAGTGACATTAGCCTAAATGCTTCATAAAATTTTGCAGTGAAGCCATCAGTACCTCAGCTTTCCTTTGTTGGTAAATTGTTAATTACTTTTTAATTCACTGATTGTAATTGGGGTGTTTAGAATTTTTGTATCTTCTTAGTTCCACTTTGGTAATTCATGTGTCTAGAAATCTGTCCATTTCTTCTGCATTTTCCATTTTACTAGAATATAGGTTCTCAAAGTAGGTATTGACGATCCTCTGGATTTCTCCTGGATCTGTTTTGACTTCACCTTTTTAGTTCCTAATTGAACATATATGAGCCTTTTCTTTCCTTTTTTTAAAAATAAGGTTGGCTAAGGATTTATTGATTTTATTTATTCCTTTAAAACCAACTCTTCAGTTCATTGATTTTTTTGTATTCTCTTAGTCTCCATTGCATTCATTTCTGCTTTGATCTTTATAATTTCCTCCCTTGTATGAGTTTTGGGTTTGTCTTACTCTTCTTTTTCTAGAAGCTTTAGATTCAATATTAAGTTGTTTATGTGAGTTCATTCTGTTTTTCTAGTGTGGGCTTTCACTGCTATAAATTTCCCTCATACAGCTGCTTTCTTTGTATCCCACAGATTCCTGTATGTTGTACTGACATTATCATTAAATTGTAAAAACTGTCTAATTTCTTCTTTAATTTCTTTGTGACCCATTGTTCAGCAGAGTATTATTCAATTTCCATGTATTTTTGAAATTCTTGTTGGTTTTTTTTCTAATGATCTCCAATTTAATTGCACTATGGTTTGATCATATACATGGGATAACTTTAACTCTTTGCATTTACTTAAAAATGTTTAATGAGGTAGTATGTGGTCTATTTTGGAGAATGACCCATGTACAGCTGAAAAGATTGTATATTCTGATTTTGTGGGGTGGAACACTTTGTAGATGTCTATTAAGTCCATTTGTTCAAAAGCTTGGCTCAGTTCTAGTATTTCATTGTTGGTTTTCATCTAGATGAACTGTCTATTTGTGATAGTGGGGAATTGAAGTCCCCAGCTACAATTGCATTAGTGCTTATTTGGTTTTTCATGTCGCTTACTACTTGTCTTTTATAGTTGAGGGCATTAGTATTTGGTGCATATATATTTATGATTATCATGTCTTCCTTTTGGATTATTCCCTTTACAAGGATCTAGTGACCTTCTTAATTAGTTTTGGTTTGAAATTTACTTTGTCTGCAAATAAGATAGCTACCCTTGCTTTTTTCTGGGCTCCTGTCATATGGAGAACTGTTTTCCATCCTTTTAGATACAGGATACAGTCTATGAGTTTCTTTTTGAACTAGGTGCATTTCTTGTATACAGCATATTGTTGGATTTTGCTTCTTCATCCATTCTGCCAGTGCATTTCTTTTGATTGGTGAATTGAGCCCATTAACACTGATGGTTATAATGGGTATGTATTGACTTATCATTGTCATGTTATTTTCCTGTTGGATCTTCTTTATCCCCCACCCCCACCATAATTTCTTGCCTTGCCTGCTGGATTTGCTCTTATGGGCCTCATGGAGTTGTGATCCTCATTGTCTTTTTCTAGGAAATTATTTAGAATTGTTTGGAGTGCTGGTTTTGTATTCATGAAGTTTCTCAGGTGTTCTTTGTCATGGAAGTATATTATTTCCCCATCCAATTTGAAAGAGAGTTTTGCAGGATACATCAGTCTAGGTTGGAGGTTATTTTCTTTTAGGGCTTGAAATACCTCACTTCAGGCTCTGCTTTACTTGAGGGTTTGGGTTGGAAAGTCTGCTATGATTCTCTGATCATCTTTCCTTCACATGTGATTTGTTTCTTTTCTCTAACTGCATGTAGTATTTCGTTCTTCTGTTGAGTTTCTGGTACCTTGATTATTACCTGTCTAGGTGTAGATTTTTTTGTGATTGTGGCTACTTGGAGTCCTACGAGCCTCACTTATCTGTATGTCAAATTTCTTTGCTCTGGTGGTAAGTTTACTTTTATTAATTCTGGGAACTGTTTTTTTTTTTTTTTAGTGTCACTTGTACTTTCTCCTGCTCTTTCATTGACTCCTATCAGTCTTATAGTACTCTTCTTTGTGTCATCTATGAGCTGGTGGATTGATTTCTCATGTTCTCTTATTTTTAAAAAACAGATCCCTCTTTTCATGTTCACTGACCACCATCCCATCTTCTACATATTATATCCTGTCTTCAGATTTGCTCAGTCTGTTATGTATACTTTTAATAGACTTTTTAATCTCCTGGATATCTGTTTGAATTGGTTTCATGGATTCCACTTCTTTCCGATGTTGGACATTCATGCCTTGTATCATGGTCCTGAGCTATATATATATTTTTAAATCTGTTTCTGCTCTAGAGTCTCTAATCATGTCCTTCACTCTGCTTACCATCTCAGAAATTATTTCTGCTTTGAATTTTTCTAGAGCCTCATTCATCTGTTTTTTTTATTTCCAGTACTATCCGATCAGGATCTCTAAGTGATTGATTATCAAACTTTTTCACCTCCTCTCCTTCAGAATTTACCTTTGATGAACAGGCAGCCTTTGTATGAGCTTGTGCCTTGCTTGAATATCTTCACATTTCTATTTTTGTTGTCGGTACTATCCTTGGTTTAATTCCTGGATTATTAGTTTGATCTTCCTGTGATAGCTTGTCTTTAGATTTTGACTCTCTAATGTCTCTAAGGCAATCTCATTTTCACTATACCAGGAAAGACAACTAATTAAATCAATCACAACACTTTAGCCCAAGTAATACAATCAGCAACACAATAGCATCAAGCAGAGCTTAGAAAAATGACAATTTATGGTAGTTATTAATCTATCACCTTTAACTGTGTAAATTAAATCAAAATTGAGGCTAGAGCTCAGGACAATAGCCTTTATGATCCCCTGTGCCTCTGTGGTATGAATCCAGGTACCAGCCCAGCCAGGAGGCCAGAGTCACATATGGGGAGTGGGGGGGGGTGCGCTTCAGGAGCCTGTGCAGCTGTGCCTCTCACTGTTCCTCTGCTGAGGCTCCAAGAATGATTTTTTTTTTGCTTAAAAAACAGGTAGAAATTAAGGAGAAATCTTTCCAGCAGGAAGGCTTCTTTGAGTTAAGTAATTCTACAGCAAGAGGAATTGTCCCAGTCTATGCAGCAAAACTGAAATATTAGGACATAACATATAGGAAGGCCTTGGTTAGTAGGTACGACTAATGCTGACTTTGATGTTGGAAGGCTATAAGTATAAGATCAACCAGGAAATGTACTTTAAGGTGTATTAGATGTACAGAAATGATAACTGAATTTAGAACTTATGAACTGGGACTATTTTATAACTGAAAAATTTTAACTTTGTGAAAGGGAGAAGATTGCATCAGAAAGTATCAAATATGTCACTGTCAAAGAGAAAAAAATATGCACAGATAGTTCTGCCTGCCAGTTGTGGTATAATCATAGTGCCAAATTAACCTCTTGATGAGAAAAAAAAGTTTAAATTTAAAACCTTTATCAGCTGACAATAATGACAAGCACCCAGTAAGGCCGGAAGTCAGGTGCTTTCTCTTTTTCCACTTTACTTCATAAGTGTTTCCCGTTTTGTTATAGGTCTTGATAATACTTAAGAGAAGGCTTGGGGAAACTGTATAAAGCCTAGGAATAAGATTATTTTCTAAATTTTATGGATCCAGAGCTGTTGCAATGTGTATTATTAACGTTTTGGACTCTTCTTTCTGAGGCTTTCAAATAATTTCATCAATTCCAGTGACAGAATGTATTAACATTGGCTGGTAAACAATCATCATGCAGGCCTTCTGGCTAACACTAAGGAGAAAGGGAGTTGAGGATAATGAATTCTGGACTTTAATTTATTTGAATTTTAATTCATATGGACAAGAAAATTTACTTTAAATTTTAATTCTTTTAAACTTTAACTTTTGTAACTTCAACTCTTTAGAAATTTAGCTGACAATTTTATTTCTGAATTTATGTCTTTATGAATTTTAAGTAGGATTCAATCTTTGAAATTTAATATTTCCCCAGGAAGTTCAAAATAGGGGAGATTTATATTAAAATTCAGGCCATTTCCTTAGAAAAAAAAACATTATTTTGTACTGTCTTTTTAGTCCATTGTCATATCTTTGATTAGTTTATTGGAAAGTAGTTTGGTATAATCTGGGATGGATTACTGAGTTCAAAATAAATTTCCATCCCCGAGGTTAGCATGTCCTTGGCGTTACTGAGTTACTTTATTGTTCTGACAAATTTCAGAACATCAAAGGGCCAAAGACATTCTGGACACCAGCACTTCTGATGGTCACCCAGAGAATAGTGGTGTTACTGACACAGGTCTTTCTGGATGAACTTTTCTACTGAGAGAAATAGCCACACTTGGGCTTGAGCCAAAGAAGTTAAAAGAACAGAATTCTGAGCAGTATCCCAAGAGAATACCTCTTGCTCCTTGCCTCAATACAGGTGGTGGAGAACGTAGTCCACACGTGCTATGGCAGGCTGTTTGTTATCATTGCAAGCTCTAAAAGTTCACTCCCCATCACTGAGAGGGACATCCTCATATGTGAGTATAACACACGCAGCAACTCTCCACTTTCTTTCTCTCTCTTTCATGGTGGAGGTCAAGTGAAGTGGCAAAATAGATAATTTGAAATGAAGATCAGTAGCTCACGCTCTTTCTGACTCTCTTTTTCTTATGATGGCTAACTGTAGTTTTTCTTTCCTATCATTGAGTCTTCATTTTACTAGTAATATCTCTTATTATATTGGTCAGCTTTCCCATTGCAGGAAATACATGACACGTGCAACTTAAAGAAGGGATGTATTTGCCTCATGGTTTAGAGATTTTAGTTCACGGTTGGCTTCCAAAGCAGAAACATCATGGCAGAAGGGGTGGTGGGACAAAGCTGCTCACTTCATGGAGGTGAGGAAGCAGAGCACAGGGAAAGAATATCAGTGAGAGAAACACTCTTCAAAGACACACCCCACTTCCTCCAACTAGGCCCCACTCCTAAAAACATAATCGGCTATGAATATCAGTCTATTAATGAGTATACTACTCCTTTGATCCAAACACCTTTCTTGCCATCTCTTCAACCAGTCACACTGACAGTTAAAATTAACTGGTACATGAATGGACATTAAGCATATTTTTATTGAAAGTATGGAGTAAAATCAATAATGCAGATATTAAAAAAAACAAAATTAACTGGTACACTTATATTTGAGGCATCTACCTTTCTTGTTTTATAGGACTGCCAATGAAATTGTCTTGGCTTCCTTGGCCAATGTATGAGCGACACTTGATTTATCATATGCTTTCTTTATGCAGCTTGAATCTTCAGAAACAGAGGCAGAGATTGAATGGGTATATAATTCATTTTCTCTTGGAGAGAAGTACTCTAGAGAAATGATTTTATTAATTCCTGTTATTTGGATCACCTGAGCTTCTTAGTATCTTTTTTTTTGCACAGCCTCGTTCTTTAGCTTATTTTAAAATTCCAAGAACTATCTACCTCAGACTACTTTTGTGTTCAGATTGGTAGATTTGGTTCTTTTCAAGGTCACTGCTTAAGAAAATTATTATTTTTTTAATCTGTACACTCCTGAAGGTCATTCTAGGCTCCCTTAGTCAGAATCTTTGGAGAGAGTCTCAGAAACCTACATCTTTAAAAGTTTCATAGGACAAAATAAAATAAATAAAAGCTCCATAGATGACTATTTTCTCTATTACTTCTTTCTTTAAAAATATCTAATAACTGCTGTAGATATTATCAAATAGCACTATGGAGTCAGACTAAAATGTTTAGAATGTAAAAATATTAGAATTCACTTTGGACTTACTCCATCTTCAAATACAGGTGGAAATATTAAAATTGGAAGGGGAAAACTAATGTCATGATGTGTTTATGGGGTTTATATTTATTATGAAAATAATACAGCCTGATGACAATTGGTAAATCCCATAGACAAACTAAATGATAGACTTTGGTTGTCCTCATAATTCATAATTTTCTTTAAGATATTTTAACCTTAAGACTTCAGGTAAAAAATGAAGTAAAGAAAGCTTAAGCTATAAATTTCAAACTCTTTGATGTCCTGTTTCTGACCCTAAATTGAACCACAAACTTCCAAGGGAAATACTTATAAAAATTATTTTGTAAAATACTTGGGTGGGATAAAGGAAACTTAAATTTCTCTACATACAGCACAATGCAATTTTACTCATAAGATCTGTATCAGCTAAAGGTGGATAAGAAAATTTTGTCAATTTAGGGGAATTCAATCACTTCTACTCTGCATTGTAGTTATTTCTGCATTACTCTGTCCACTCAGACTTTGTTTCTCACATTTAATTTTTTTCTTGCTCTCTGTAGAATTCCTGGGAGCTTATAGAAGTGATTCCAGGACTTCAAGTTAGTATTTCTGATCCAGGCCCATGTCAAATACTTTCTGGGAACTCCTGGATGTAGGTAAGTCAATGAATCTGGAAATGGGCAGTTGGTCTCTCCTGCATTCACAACCAGATAAGTATCACTACAAAGCCTTAGTCAATATGAATATAAATCATGCATCTTTTTGCCTAACACTAGGCTTCCTCTGGTCTACTGGCTTTAACATTTCCTCTCTTCTCCTTGGGGCTCAGGAATCTTATAAGCCTGACTTCAGATCCTGTCAAGGGTGTGCTCTCCTTCAGCACTCTACTTTAAGGCTCATGGATCATGTTGGAAGCATGCAGTGATATCTTGTAGAAACTTGCAGTCCTGAATATGTATTGAGTTTCTATCAATTTTTATTGTGTTGTTACTCACTTACCTGCCCTCCCATTCCTGAAATGCACAATCTTTGATGATCTTTTGGAATGTACAAGCTAAGTTGTAGTCACACCTGCAATAATTCTCCTTTATAAACACTGTCAAACTTTTCTTTTTGAGGTGGAAAATTGCTCTTATATCATACATTCTTTCCCATTCTCTGATTTATAAATAAACACTGGGCTCTGAGAACTTCACAGATCTTGGGCCTTGTAAATCATCAAAACCTTTGCTCACTCATAAAAGAGCGGCTCCTATAACAAAAAGGTTTGCCTTCAAGACTACTGCTTGTACCATGGGCCTTAGAAAAAATATAATTAAATCTAAAAGATAAGCAATGACTTCTTTTGTGTTGTGTTCTCTCTGGCCTTGATGATGTTCACAAGGAAAGCTATGTGGCTATGTTCTTGATAGAAGGTATGAACAAAGAAAAGAAACCAAAGTTAGGTTTTATCAAAATATTAAACACAACATTTTAGCTGAGGAATTGGTAAAAAGGAAGTTCTATTAAGACTTCTTTTAGATATTTTTTCCTACTATTGAACTAGAATTGTAATGAGAATCAACCTCTAATAGAAAACAAGCTTACTATGACCAAGATCTAATATGAATCATCTTATTTGCCACACACAGAGGGTAGGAAGAGTTAGAGGGTAGAAAAGGAGACAGACAGCCAGAGACACAGAGACATAGGGAGAGACAGAGAGACATACACAGAGTGAGACACAGAGAGAGAGGAGAGAGAGGGAGAGAGAGAGAGAGAGAGAGAGACAGACAGACAGCAAGACAGCTATGTGAAGTGACCAGCAGACAGGAAAGGGATTTCTGAGCTTTGAAGGCCCCTGAAAATAGGCAGATATATACCATCAGAACTACTGATATGTTAGATCGGCTCAGGAGAGTCAAATACTTGTTGACTCTTTGAATTTTGCAAGCTGTCTGTGTAAAACACTGTTATTATGAAAATTTGAATTATAAAAACTTACAATTAAGTATTTTACTTGTACTTTCCTAATTATTTTCCTGTTATCTACTTTATATTTTACTATGCTCTTAAATTAATTACATTTATTGTATTTGTATATTGGCAATATATGATATACTACTGGGAATCTCTGCCCAACCCATGTTCACTGACATTATGCTAGTAGTTTGAAATCAGATATGGAAGGAGAAATTATACTACATATGTTGGCAACTACTACAGTTAGCCTTTTTAAATGAGCAAGCTAGGGAACTGTGTGAAATTCAGGATTCCCTTTTTCCTAGTGCTCATGTTTTTCTCTCTTGTTCTTTTGTGTCTCTGCTTCATTATTCTTTTTTATCAGCCAGGTATATCTGTGCTTTTATACATGTGGCAAGAAACACAGACACTAAGAAGTTTTTAGATTCACAATTTACAGTAGGGCACTCAAAAGGCAGTGTGCTATTAAGATAACTTCTGCCAAAATGAAGGAATAAAATAAGAAGCAATTTCCAAGATTAGGGGTGCTACACTAATAATCCCAAAGTTATCCATTTTTTATCATAATGACCTCCCCTGCTCAGAGATTGTCCTTAAAGGAGTTTCCCATGGAGATACTTGGTGTGTCCCAATTGTTCCTTTCGTGGTGCCCTCACTGTCTTTCTTTATTCTAGCTTCTTGCTACTGTCTTCAGTTCAAGCCTAGGATTCCTTTTTTGCCAGTTGCAAAGGGGTCACTTGGTCTCTTCTGAAAGTAGACCTTTGATGTAAATTTAAGTGCAGATGCATGCTTTCAGGCTGCCCATGGGGGAGCCAGTAAAAAAGAGATTCTTTTTGAAATCAGAATGACTGCAATGCAAGTTAAACTCTTGCTAACCCCAGGAAATTAAAAAGAGCTATTTGCCCAGACTCTCACAACAGTAGTTAATTTGTTGAAAAATGCATTTTACAAAGTCTGAAGTGTCCTTTTTCAAAATTATTACAAAGACTAGAGAGTGTCCTGCATTTTTTTTTTTTTTTTGCAGGCAAGATAATAGAAAAATGCTTACAGTACAGAATGATGCAACAAAAGTCCTTCTAGGAAAGTGATGTATTATTCCAATTACGTGACAAAACTGGAATACTCTCCTTTCCTCACAAGGATAAAGCAACCACTGCAGGGATTCCCTGTGGGATTCTCTCACATGAGAATACAATTCCAGAGCTTGCATTCTTTTAAAAAATTTAAACTGACTTTCCTTGCAGTCCACCGAAGACTGATTATACAAAATATAGATTGGACTTCTAGTTGACTTTCACCCTAAGAACTATTTTCTGCAATTTTATTATTTTTTAAACAGACCCTGTAACTGAAATATATGCTTACTGATTTGTAAGACTTCAAATGTGAAGTCATTTTCTGATTCCAAAAATTCCATATATACTCGATTTTCAAATCAGAGAAACCATGAACAAATTAAACACAGACTATGTTGATGATGCAATACAAAAATTTACATTTCAATTTCTAAAATTACAATTCCTTACCACTGATGCTAATATAGCTCTGGGTCATGTCTGATACTTACTTTATCAGGTATGAGATGTTCAGGTAACTGGGCCAGGGTTCTTCTCTCTACTCCCTTCAAATATCTCTGCACAGTTCATTTATCTAAAAAAACAGAGTTCAGCTTTTCAGAGAACTTTAATCAAATCCAGAATATTCTCTCGTGTGCCTCCGTAGCACTGAACGCACTGCCACACTTACCATAGAAGGCCACCCAAACCTTGGCGGAGTAAGTGAAGGAATGAACGTTACATATGCTTTCTCAAGTCACTTTAGACCTCAGGGACAGTGCATTTATAAACCTTGAGAATGAGTGTTTCCATGGTAAGGTTCAAATATATAATTCTTCTTCACACGAAGAAAGAACAGAAATAACAGAATAGCTCACTTTGTGTTATGTCATATTGTCTAATGCATGGTTTAAAAAAATAAGTCCTATAAAATAAGCAGTTAGGCCTAGAGACTTCATTCAATTCATGTTAGGAAAACAAAAGCAATTCTTTGGTAGTACTGGGCATAGAACCTAGGGAGTGCTGATCTATATCTGAACCTCTATTTAAATCATGTTTGAAATACGGTTTCACTAATTTGCCCAGGCTGGGCTTGAAATTGCAATTCTCCTGCCTCTGCCTCCTGGGTAATTGACATCACAGTCATGTACCACTGTGCTGGGCTAAAAACTAAGCAGTTTTGTTTGCCAAAATACTTTATGGTTGGTGCTGTGTACCCTCTATTGCATCACTTTGGAAGGGGACATAATTCTGATAGTTAACTTTTATTTATCTGAAAATTAATCAATAGGTCCAAACATGTCAGTTCCCCCTTCCATCATAAACTTTCCCAACCAGCATTTTACACAGTGGTTTTAGAAGCTACCCATGATCTTTGACCAGATTTATTATCCATTTCAATAAGGACTGAAAAATATTTACTTTCTAATTTTACTATGTTGCGAATGACCTGAATGCTATAGTCTACTCTAAGAAACTTCTTCCAAATTAATTATTTGTTACCCTGAAATACAATTTTCCTGAAAAACATTTGGTAAATACTTGATTTTTGTCTCCTTATTAATTTTCAGAATACAAAGTTGGTATTGTGGCAAACCAATGAAGTCAGCACTGTGAGAAACTCATAGATTTTCACATAGTTGATCTGTTTTATACAGTAATGTCTGTTTGGCTCTCAAAATTTCCCATTTATGTCAAGAACTTCTTCAAGTTGGCCCCTGAGACATTGTGACATGACCCCAGAAGTGCTGATGGCTTCTTTGCTTTTATCCCAAAAAGAGTTTAAAATAATAATAGCAATGTTATTATAAAAATATTACAAAAGCTGTTCAATGTTTTTAATGATTTTCTTGGTTTTTTCCTGCCCTCCCTTCCACCCCTTCACACTTCCCTATTTACAAAGACTTTTTTTCCTTTTTTTCATATTTTTCCCTTATTTCCTTTTCCCTCCTCTTCCCACTACCCCTTTAGCCATTTTCTATTGGGGTCTTATTAAATCACTAAGTTGCTCACACTGGTCTCAAACCTGTGATCCTTTATCCTCAGCCTCTCAGAGTGCTGGCGTTACAGGTATGTGCCACCACACCTGGCTAAGGATACATACTGCTAAAAATGTACAGTCACATTACTGTTCTAAAGTCCCTTGAACTACATCCTCCCAATGCTCATTCACGTCATTAGTTTTGATCATCAGTACGTGATGTCTGCACTGACATGCTGTAAGATAAAGATACAAACATCTCCATTTTTCCATTTCTTCAAATATTTAATTAGCCCACTTCCTCACAGTCCCACAATTTGCTGTCAGATTTCAGGTTATTAGCATATATAATTGACTCTACAAACACAAATTATGTTTGCTTTGTTCACAGGTTGACTACAAATGTTGAAAACCACTAAATAGCTTTTACATTATGGTATCTATGTAAATATATTGTTTGAATCCGGTTCAAATTTTCATTCTTATTTTTCATGGCTTGATCAAAGTATATTTGTATAATAGAAATTAAATTTATTTTTATATACTATCCCTAGATTACTTAAGATTATTTCATAGTTAATTTGCTTTATATTTTGCCATAACTTGGGTTGGTTATATTTCCTAGAGTTTCTAATTGCCTTTCTTTCTTTTTTTTTTT